TTTAGGGGCCAGACAAAGAAAACAACCGCACTTGTTTTTTCAAAATATCTCTCTTCTCATTAACTGTAAGGCATAAACAGGACTCTGAGTCATGGTTTTGAAAACAAAAAATGCAGTTTCCATTTGATGACGCGGCTGCCATAAATTCTTGTGTGGTGACAGTTTGTTTATGTTTCGGCGTCGGTGGATATCTGTTAATACCTTTCATTTCCCGTTTTGACTTGCGTGGAAAGGATAACAAATTAATCTTTTCTCGCGATTCTATTTCTAATCGGAGAAAGTCTAGAAATTTGTTTAAATCATAGGTTGAAGGATTTTCAGTATTTGTACGATGAAATTCTAAAGTTATATCGTTCGGGACAATTTTCATCAAAATTGGAATAAACATGTTGGAATATGTTTCTGGTTTCACACCGAATGCTAAAAGGCTTTCTGACTTTGAACGTTAATTGTATCATAAAATTTTCACAACTTTGCCACTTCACTTGAACTTTGAACTATTTTGCCACGTCATTTGATTTAATGGGATTTAAATTTAAGAGATTAGAAATGTGTGTATTGATAATAAGGTCACTTTTGACCGAATCTATTTTTAAGAATGTCTATAGGCAGAGTCATAATTAGCCTCTGAGATTGAGAGACCTTCTATGGCTGATGCTGCGTTTCCACATAAATAAGTTCTCAAATAATTAAATTTTTCTATCTTCGAAAGTGTAACATTGTCATGAATAGTGACCTTGAATGAATTCCAAAAAAATTCATCCCAATCGTTATAGTCTCCAGAAAATTTGTGAATTAACAGTTTGGGCAATTTCACATTACTTTCAACCTGTCTTTTGGTTTCAACTTCTGTAGATGAATTATTTAAATTCGTGCATTGATAATTTTGAGTATTGTATTTCCTTAAGTAACGGTTGATTTTAGACTTCGCTATTATTATTTAATCGTTATATTCCATAGAAGTGTTAATATCTGAATCTAATTTTGATTCATCTTCTATCAAATTTTGTATTTTTTCATTTAAATCATGTAGTTGCGTTTCTTTACTATTTAACAATTCCAAACAATTTTCCAACTCTTCTTGTTTTTCTTCTTTTAAATACTCATCTACATTTTTAATAATTTGAGTTACAGAAGCACGTATATGTGCTCGATTCTTAATTAGTGTCTTCTGTTCCATTTTAATAAATTATCAAAGGAGACTTACCGTGAGAAGTCTTCACTTACAAAGCTAATCCAAAAGGTGAAAAACACAAATTTTCAAATTAATCAGATTCTTTTCTGTGACTGATGCATCATTATGTAACGAAAGTTCTAGATCAAAGTCGAATCACTCATAATCCAAAAAATGAGATGCATGGCCTGGAGGGTTTTCCATAAATTTTAATTAAACTTAATATTTACATATATACAATGTAGGCTAAAATGCCTGAATCGAATATTTAAGGCTCAAAAGGCAAGAACTGATTAGTTCCAGCTAAAATCTAAATCGAATTCTATTGCGTAGTGCATCGAAATTCTACCTTCAAGAAGAAGAATATTTTTTTTTCAAGTCACGTGTTCAGAAGGGGAAAGGTTAAGTAAGCCAATAGATGGACTCTTAACGCCATCTCTTGGTGATATCAAAGAATATTCCTTAACAAAGCAGCTTAAAAAAATTCATTTTCAAAAATTAATTATTAATAATATTTTTCTATCAACAGCTACTGCACTCACACATCATTATTTGACACCTTTTCATGTGAACTCATATGCAAGTGATTTTAAAATCAGATGTTGGGAATATAAATTAAAAAAGATTGTAAATATTAATTTTTCTTATTTTTCATTTCAATAACTTTTTGTGATGATCCAACTTAAACAGCAAATAAAAGCAAGATGAAACGTTACAAATTATTACATTAGATTTAAAAACAAAGATAAAATTTTAATATGCAAGAAGCTACAAATAAATTTTTAGATATTTTTTTTATCAATTTTTAAAATAAGCTAAAAATTCTTGATCAAATTTAAATAGTCACTTCAAGAAAGGGGGAAATGTGCTGTTGCTAATTTGGAGGAATTCTTAATTCTAGGTGCATGAATAAATTAAAATCTGTAATTAATGCTCATATTGAAAAATATTACATCCATTGTACTGATATCTACAGAAAAAGAACCAATAACTCAGATTATATATAGCTTTAGATAGTATTTCTGATAATGAGTATCTCAGCTGATAACCCATACCACTCAATCTCACCAAATGCAGAAGCTACTACTTAAGGTATGATATAGTTCAGCCAAAGATGGCACTGTTACACATAAAAGTGTTCAATTAAAATTTTTGACATACGATTAAATTTTTTTAACCCCTTATTCTTTTAAATCTCAGTTATAAATTACATTGCCCTCAAACTTACACTCAGTGACTTGTGGTTATTTTCATTTTACAGTACGGAACATAACTCTGAAATGCTCCAAATTTTTAAAAGAAAGTATTCAGAACTTACCTATACAGTAAGTAATTGTGATTATGCTAACAGTACCCAATAGCACAGATGATTCTAAATGTTTATAAAAGGATTGAGTATAACTATGAGATTCATTAATCATCTTTTAACAAGTGTAGCTACCATACTTCATATCTTACATAAAATGACAAAGTTACACAAAAGTGAAAGAAAAACAATTGTTATGTATGAGAAACTGCAACAAACATTTGACAGCAGGTTGGAAGAATGCCAATGAATTAATTTATACAGCATTCTATACTACCAGGCATTATTTTGAAATTATACGCACTCATAAAATATTTAAAATTTCTCATAAGACAAAATTGACAAAAGGTCAGCTGTTCACAGCATAGTACACGGCATTCCAAAACTCTATGTACAAACATTAGGGAAGATAGAGAATATAAATATGAACCATACTCTTATACACTGAAGATCAATGAAAACTGGTACATCTACTGTATAGGGCCCCATGAGCACACAAAAATGCTCCAACACCATGTGGCATGAAATCGGCCAATGTCTGAAGTTGTGCTGAAGGTAATTCACAAGATGAATTCTGCAGGGCAAACTACAAATCCACAGGAGTGCAAGGTGGTGAAGATCTCTTCTGAACAGCACACTGCAAGGCATCCTAGATATGCTCAATAATGTTCATTATCTGTGGATCTAGGTAGCCAATAGACATGTCTAAAGTTAGAAGAATGCTCCCGGAGCCACTTGGTAGCAACTCTTAACATGTAGACTGTCACACTATCCTGCTGGAAATGTCCAAATCCACTGGAATGGATATGAATAGGTGCAGGCGAATGGACAGGATGCTTACGTATTGTCACCTGCCAGAGCTGTATCTAGATGTATCAGGAGTCTCATATCATACCAACTGCACATGCCCCATCATACCATGACAAAGACTCCACCAGCTGCTACAGTCCCTTGTTGACATGTAAAGTCTATGAATTCGTGAGGTTTCCATATCTGAACATGTCCATTCACACAATACAACTGAAAATGAGACTTGTCAGACCATGCAAGATATTTCCAGTCACCAGCAGTCGAATGGTGGTGTTGGTGGGTCCAGGTGAAGCGTAAAGCTTTGTGTTGTGCAGTCAACAATGGTACAGAAGGGGGCCTTCGGCTCTGAAAGCCCATGTGAATAATGCTCTCTGTTGAATAGTTTGCGTGCTGGCACTTGTTGAAGCCCCATCCTTGAAATGTGCAGCAATTTGAGGAAAGATTGCACATCTGTCACAAGTAACAATTCTCATCAATCATCATTGGCTCCGTTCTTTCGAGAACGTTTTAAGGGTACAACGATGTCGGAGATATTCACGGCATACTCGTGAAATGGCTGTATGCAAAAATCCAAATTTTGCTGCTACCTTAAAGATGCTATGCCCCATCTCTCGTGCAATGAACTATAACACCATGTTCAAACTCATTTAAATCTTGATAGCCTGGCATTGTAGAAGCAATAACCGATCTAACAACTTTGCCAGACACTTGTCTTATACAGGCACTGCTGATCGCCGCACTTTACTGTGAATGTTCCAAACCTCTGTTATTTGCATATGTATGCCAATTGTTTTGGCTCTTCAGTGTAGAAAGCATGACTGGACATAGGAACCATAATCATATAGAGTAGCATGACTAGCCACATCGCCAATAGTATCTAGAACACAATATACATCAAGAACACAATGAGGAAAACAGCATAAAGTACTTTATAAGGCAAACTTAACCATGCAACAACTGGAAGATGGAAAGCATGGTTTCATATGAGGTGTTCAAAGTTCCTGACTCCACATGGACTACCAAAATTTTTTGAAGACACCTGGACATTTCAAACATAAGTCAAAAACTACTCCCCTCACACACACACACATATCCAGACTAGATAAATTAGGTGAATGTGGCACCTAATTTATCTAGTCTCGATGTGCAGCAGTTAACCACATCTTTCTCAATAAATTCTTTCAGCAATTTGTCCATTGCAGTGAGCTAACTTCAACATGAAAAGTATGCTTGCTATTTTAGCATTTACAAAATGATGTAGATTCTCTGTTAACTGTAGCAAGCTCTAATTAGAAAACCTCAGGCGACAACATGGAGCAATGGCATGCAGTACTACCTATCCACTTCTGGTCCTGCTTTCCTATGTGAATATTTTTTCAAATCAATGTTGATATTTTTGTCATGGCCTACAAAGCTGTGTGTATTAATGAATATAAATGAACATAAAATGAACTATAGAACACTTAAAAGTGATATTTGCAATCATTATGAAGCATTTACTAGCAAGAAAATAATGCAATTCAAATAATATTATCATAATCGTTGTTGATCATTAAAGAATCAAAACCATTTCAAAATATTAAATTTTAAGCTTTAGATCCAACAATGTACTGCTCACATATAATGCAAATAATAATATAAATTTTCAATAGACCAATAACTATCACAAAATACATAACATACAGTTATAAGAAATAAAATCCAACATACCATTTGACCTGAATCACCAGATACAAATTCATTCACAGAATCTTGAAAATTAGCACCAAAAATCTAAAATAATAATAAAAAAATTAATTGACTAAAAACTGTCTCCTTTGCTAACACATAAAAATTAATATAAAGGGAATTGTAAGACATCTACTTATTTAAGCAGCATACTTGAATAATACTGGGAAACTACAATTTAATTGCCTTAGATCTGTCACTTGTTTTTAACTAACTTCTGACCTCATTTAAAAATAACCTCAGCTTTTGTCTATCATGGCAATTTTCTAAGCTACAGGATACCCTCTCTTTATTTTTAAGTCATACAAAATATGCATATAGAGGAAAATAAAGGGAAAAACCTACCAAATAAACATTGGTGTAGCGAGATAAAACATGCGGGACAAAATGCCTTTTTGGCCTCCCCTAAAAAACACTGACAGTAATTTTAATGTATATAATATACTCTTAATAAGAAAATAATGCAAATAACAATAAAATGCTGAATCTGCCTTAAATACTCTAAAAGCCTTCCCCAGTCAAATTGATGGTGATTGTCGTGTATGACGTCAAAGGTGTCATTGTTTGCCACTTTGTTCCTAATGGCAGAACAGTGACCACACAGTACTACATGAACTTCCTGGTGCAAAAGGTATGACGTGGCGTTCAGGATAAATGTCCAGATCTTGTGGACAGTGCAATTATTCTGCATGACAATGCAAGACCACATAAAGCAGAGTGTGTATGGCAGTTACTCCAACGTTGGGGATGGGAAGAATTGGAGCACCCACCGTACTCTCCTGACTTTTCGCCCTGCGGCTTTGATCTTATTCCCAAGATTAAGGAACCAATACGTGGTAGGCAGTTTGCAACACGAGAGGACATTCCTAATGCTGTGTGCCAATAGATGACCTGATTCACACATGATGCAGCAAATGCTGAGGCTGATGGTATTCAGCGCCTCCCACATCGTTGGCAGTGTGTGGTGACGGTAGCAGGGGATTACATTGAGGGTATTTAGGCCCAGGTTTGTCATGTCAACTTTATGTGTATTGTGTTATCATTCTTTTGCACGGTGAAGGCCATATTGCCCTGTATACTACCGTAATAAATTCGTGTGTTACGACATTTCAGTGCTATTCATTGTCCACACACGTAGTTAAGACCTTATCCTTTCGTCTGTATATGTCACATTTTCCAACCAGACTGTTATCTTCAAGAAAAAAATAATAGTTGCCGTGACTTTTGCCCCAACCTACATATTAAGAATAGTCACTATCTAACTACACTTCTACGAAATGCTATACAGATTTTCAGAATAACAGACTCAGATTAGGTTTTAAATTTGAGGCAAAAAAATATAGTAAAAAAATCAAGACTAGCATTGGATTCAGAAATGTATTTTGTGTCGGCGGAAAAATCAGACATACGATGATCTAGAATTAGTTAAAAAGGTAGTATTTATTTTACATATTTGTATAACGGCTTTGAAAAATGTACAATTTTTAAACAATAAAAAGTTTAACATATATTACAGATAAGTAGATATATTTATTAATAATATAATATAATATTATAATACATTAATACAATTAATTACTATGTACACATTTTTCTTGCCTTGAATGAATAAAATTTATCAATTACTTCAACAAAATCGATCATTTCATATTTTTCTCTTTCCACATTTAAAAAATGCTAGATCACTTTGTTCTTCATTCTTTGTTCCATCGTTCCATATGTCAAAATTAATTTTAATTTGCTGAACGAACATTCATAGCTAGCATTTGATAATGAAATAGTACGGAGTATTTGATATGTGACTCTTAGATTTGGAAAAACATTTTCTCCATACAATATTATAAAGGTAAGATCCATAATGAAGTTTTAGGTTCAATTTCTTTTCTACTATGGAGTAACATCTTGCAGTTACATACACTGCTCCAAACAATTAGAGGATATTGAGAGTGTGGTATGAAAGAACCATATAGTTGATAACTTTTATAAAAAAAAGGAAATAAAAGAGGTTATAAAGGAAAATTATAACGTTTACGAAGTTGGGAATATGTAAATTTAGTCTGTGACATCGAAGTGAATGAAAAGCGACCAGCAGCATTACTTTTGTAGTAGGAGATTAAAAACAAACGACATGCATTGAATGTTTTGTAGCAGTGAGTATGATATCTCAGCAAGATGACTTAGTTGAATCGATAGCCTGGAAGGCCATCTGTAGTTTACAGGAGGGTCAAATACAATCCATTATAGTGTAAGCATTAGGAGTTTCTCAAAATGTCATTTCCAGACTATGGAATCAGTTTCTGGAATCTGGAAATGTTTGTCGAAGATTGGTACAATGGAAGATTGTCCTCTGCTAATTTTTCTAATAGTTCTACTAATTCTTCCAGCTCATCGACAGTAACACTAACTGCTTGTGCTCTGGCACTCTATTTTGTTTCAGATTCACGTTTAACAGTTTTCTTTAAAGCATTTTTTAATTCGCATTTTAATGTTTGTTAATGAAATCTGAACAGAATTTAATTTTTCTATATTATATTTTCAATTTAGGCTGCATCTTCAGCATGCACTTCAATAAATCCCCAAAAAGATCCTTTGACAGAAACTTTTCTGGTGGTAAAATCAATATCTATATACCTACAGACTCGCAACATTTGTTCTCGATGAGTGATATCCGGAGTCGAGCCAAATAAAAGTGAATATTAATTTCTTTTGGTGTTACTTATTATTTGATTATTATAGTTTACCGGCCAAATTAATAATAGTTAAAGGTTGAAGGGCTAATAATGTAATAAAAGACCATAGTTCACTGTTTGTTACCGTTTTAAAAAAACAAGCGTGAGCCATACGTGCATTTCATTTAAAAAAATAAAAATATTTCACCATTTTAGAAGAATAAAGTGTTCAGAAAGAATGCTTTGCATAGGGTGATATTTGACTGATTTGCAGCAAACATTATTTATAACATATTTCATCAGATAAACCAAGAAAGGAAATAATTAATTATATTGCAATAATTATTGATTTAAAACTTATTTCCCAGAAACGATCAAAATAAAAATAGAAATATTCAGGAAGATCTTGTTTGTCTTGGGGACCATTTGGCACTCTGATAGACCCCCTTGCCCCCCTCTCCCTACACCACAACAAATATATTGTTCACAAAGAATAGTTTTATTCATACAAAAGCTATCTATAGTTAGTGCAAGTTAAATTTTGTTCACTTTGTTCACACAAATAGTAAAGTTTTTTTTTTACTATATGGTAAACATAAATATTAAGATAAAAATTTTCTCTTATGGCTTTTTCTAGAGCATTTAATCTGTGGACATTTTCGCTCAATTTCGCCCAACAACAGTCAGCCATCGTATGCACATCCCATCTACCTTGGTACTATGCCTCCATGATTTTCAAGTCTTGGTGGAATCATTCACCCTGCTCATCAATGACTGCACCAGATTTTTCAGGAAGATATCAAGATGGCTATGTAAAAAATGCAGTTTGATACTCATGTTGCAATCAAGCATTCTGATGCTATCCAAAACTTGCTTGATGATTTTTTTGTAATTCTGTGCTTGTGTATTTCCAAGAAAATCTTTGACAATGTTTTTGAATGTCAACCAAACATTCTTTTGAAGTTCTGTCATTACTCTGATAAAATATTCATCTTTATTTTTCCATCTTTAAGCTGCCGAATCTATGGGCAATCAAAAACAGTGCCCCTTTTCTTTTCAAATGCCAGGCTAGGAAATGCCTAATGTAGAAAGTTTGGTTCACCAGGTTTCAGGTCAGATCTCAGCGGCCAATTCCAATGCACCCAGTGCTTCTCTCAAGCTCGGCTGACCCACATGCACAAAAAGCAGGGATACTGGTATTATCTGCATTGCTGGCCAAGAAGAAGCAGACAATTTTTAAGGTCAACATAAATTATTTATTGGCACATGTAATATTGCAACAAATCAATTACTCTCTTCCTATCTTCATATAGTTCACAGAAACTAAATGTCCTGTTCAGACTACACAAAATAAATTTCCATTGTACAGGAGGACACACTTTAAGCTCCATTCTGAGCTATGTGTAAGATTATTTTCTGTTCTTAAAATAAATAATCATATGCAAATTAAAAAATGTCACTTAAGTCAAACCTTAAAAAAAGAAAAAAAAATCATAACACAGTTACAGGATAAGGAAGGGATGACACTCTTACACAGACCTTTAAAAATCACTTAAATTTTCTGAAAACTATAGTAAAAGTACCTATTTTGTTTTTGATGAAAATATATAATAGTATAGCTGCCAGCCTTGAAATATGAGAAACCACGAGGTTCTTGACCAAAAACTGTGAGCTTCCAGGAAGTGTATGTGCTGCACGGAGACGCCATTTCATAATAACTCCAAAATGCCTTAAATTCACTTTACAATCCCTGACTTAAATTATTTATAATATGAAAGTCATGTAAAATATATTGTTGTGTGCATACAATTCGGTAAAAGATTGATTTCACACAGGTCTAATGATAGGTTAATAAAATTTATTTTATCAAATGAAATACTTCAAAGTTCTGGAACTTTCCACAGAAATGCTCAGGTGTTCACAGTATCAAAATCGGTAGTTGCACTTCAAACTACTATGAACATTAAACACAGTGCTATGCAAAGCACATCCAAAGAGCAAAACTAACCCAGAGATATTTCAGTACTCTGAACTCAGGCTGAACTAACAGCTTACAACAAGAACTGAAAGCAGATGCTCGTTTCAGTCTTATATAGTCTTCACATGGCTGCCAGGATAGTTTTAGCACTTTCTGCTTCATGAAATTACTGGAAGGTAGGCCAAATACCGAAACCGTTTCCCACTTGGCTCACCAAATTAGCAAGACAACCATTTACATGTAAAATAGACTTGCCCCAGCATTTTCATTTTTCCCGAAGAGCGCCGTCTTTCTAGATTTTCATGTCACATCATATAGAAAAATAAAATAATTTCACACAAAACTGCACTAAAATTATCTGTATATGTACAAAATTCATAACAATATTAACATTTAATTAAATATTCTAAATTTTATTTTCTTTGGTTATATTCCTTTTGTTATTTCTTACATATTTATATTGAGAAAACACTAAATAGGGAAGGAAAGCTTTTATTTATCAAATTATAAATACGATGGAAAAATTTAATAATTTATATACATAATGATAAGTTCTGAAGTGAAACGTGATTAAAATTACATGCAAGGAAGTGCTGCTATCTAGCTTCCTTAATACGATCTAAAATATCAATATATTTTACTATGAGATACTCGGGATATTTTAAGTTAGGAACATATGCGAGTATCCTTTCAAAGTCTGTTTTGCAATTTTGAATGTGTGCAATGTCTCCTGGTACTCCTTAAACACAATCAGATGCCATTTTGAACATTTCGTGTTATATGATGAATATGTTTAAGAACATCAAATGACCTCATGCCAATGAATTAAGAGCATTATTCTTTTAAAAAAAATGTGACACTGGCAGAAATCTCTATTGTTGTTTGTGAATATGGTAAAGCAGATGAAGAATATCTGACTAGGGCAGAAACCTATAGCCAAATCTGTGAAGCGAATGATCTGAATGTCATGAGTAATAATTTAGTTCATAGGTGAGTAAGTCATTTTACGGAAAGTGACAAGAAGCATGTTCATGCTGGCCATCTATAATTGTTGACTACCTTGTACATGCAACAGGTACTATAACTCGCAAAAATACACAATTATCATTTTTACACTACTGGTGAATTTCAGACAAAGTTCACAGTTTTTTACAAAACTGAGTTAGAAGACTTGGGCTAGGAAAACATAAAACAAACAGCTCACCAAATGCTTTGAGACTTTTTAGCCCCAATGTGAGGAAGATTGATAATTACTGAGCAATATCACAAGGAATAAAACATAGGTATTTCATGTGAACTCTGAATCTACAACAGTTGAATTTGCAATACTCATCACCTCCTGATGAGACTGAAATTCATGCAGACCTCATAGCAATCATGTTCTGGGACAGATATGATGTTCTGCTTGTAACTTCAAGATGTAAGGCAAAACAAAAAAACACAGCTGCATATAATCAAACTTAGAAAAGGGATTTTGCTTAGCTGCTCAATGTAAGCTCTACATGAATCACTGCATCAGACCCTCTTCCTTCCCACACACTGCTCATATCTGACACTAGATTTTCCTACACCTGAAAAGTTCCTTCATCAGGAAAAGTTTCCAAATCAATGATGAAGTGAAAACAACAGTTCAGGAATGATTGTCTTCTCTGGCAGCACATTTCTATGATATCTATATCATAGATCTATGAAAACTTGTCTCATGGTATGACAAATGTTTAAATAATGAAAATATGTGAAAAAGTAACTGTGTAGAGACATTAGGATTTTCAGAAGCAGGAAAGATGAAAAATTAGCAATCGCAGGGAATCAAATCACGGACCTCTGAAATACTGGCTAAGTGTGCTGACCACTACACCACAAAGGCTCACCAAGAAGGTGGGAGAAATACCTTATATACTCCCCCTTTTAAAGGGAGACTGGGTTTTTAGGGGACTCAATCGCCAAATCCTGGGTGTGGAGATTCATCATCCATGACCCTTTTAGTTCAGGCACCACTGTAGAGGCATTAAGATTTTTGGAAGCAGGAAAGATGAAAAATTAGCAATCGCCTTCGTCGGGAATCGAACCAGGAACCTCTGAAATACCAGCTCAGTGTGCTGACACCACTACATCAAGAAGGTGGGAGAAATACCTTATAACTGAAGATATATTGTATCTCAATAAAAATGAGGTACCTGAAATGTTTAGCACGTTTTGTTATTGCAAAACTGCCCTTATTTAAAAATATCTCTCATTTAAGTTGAGTTTTTCACTATTTAATATGTAACTTCTCTGAGGTTTCAGTATAATTGTATCATAGATGAGAAAAAGAGAAAGCAACACCTTAACTCATCACTCAATGACAATGAGCAATAAGGAATTTAAGAAACTGAAAACAGAAATGAGACAGTCACAGACTACTGAATAAACATTATAAATGCAAGCAGTCTGTTTAGATCTCAGTTATCTACATAATATATAAATACAGCAATTTCTTTTAGCATATTCAAATTTATACCAGAAACATAACTAAACAGAAATGATATATAAAGCTTAACTAATTCAAATACAGAGTGATTCATATATGAACATGTAAAGTTCAAAAACAGAGTAAAACCCATAAATTCAATAAATCATAATAGAAAAAAAAATCTCTTTTCAATTTTCAGTTAATTTTAAATTAATATGAAATATTTTAGTTATATTAAAATTGAAATAATTTAGTAAATTAATAAAATTACACCAGAAAAGCTTCTGAAATAATGATTTATTACATTATTTTAACTTTTAAACATGGATAGCCATACTAAAAATTTTCATTTGTTAACAAATATAAATATAAATAACAAAATTCCAAAACAGATACAGCTTTTAACATATGAATTTAAACATGAACCAACCTTCAAAATTCTTGATATGTAGGATGATATATTTGTCAATACTTTACGATTGCAGATAGACTGCGACGATTTTTTTGCGTGGATATAAGTATTAGAGGCTGTAATCAGATCATGAATATTTTCCATTGCAGATCGTGTGTCAATATTATCTAATAATGGAAAAAAATTATACTGAAGCAAAAACTACATTTAATTCAAATATATGTCAAGATCAAAAGTTTCAATCACTTAGATAAAAATGATTAAATATTTATAAAAGAAGAATTTGATTAAGGTGGATAATAATTCTATGCAACTTTTTTAACAGAAATGACACTCAGTTTTTTTTTTTTTCTTTCAAGGCAATAATATCATTATTCAAAGCTATAATTGACACTGTGTTAGGTATCTTGGTACTTTTTCCTTATGTATCATTTTCGTGATTTTTTTTTAAATTATAGACGTCTAATTATAATAATAGCCCTTATGTTATGCTACATTCTAAAAAGCTACCTAATTCCTCACTCAAATAACTTCCTGCCTTTTTTTAGAGAAAAAATAATATTAAGTACTATTTAACAACTTCAAAGGCCAAACAGATATCCATTCAAGAAAGTCTACAAATAAATAAATAAATAAAAAAGAAAGAAATATAATAGACAGAAAAAGATAGGTCTGATGAGTATGGTAATATATGAGTATGGCTTAGTGTTAATAACTCTTGATATATCTGAAAGACATATATGGTGGGAATAATCATGATGGAATGCAGCACTTTTGCACCATTTCCAGATACTTCTCATGGATCATAATATTCAGTTTCCTAGCTAGCTACAATGTCTATCTGAGCTGACTGTCTTATTTTTAAGTGCAGCTGCTAAACCACTACACCTTATTAATCCCACTGTTACTCCCCAAAAAGCAAGCCTTAAAAACTTATTGCAGAATTATTGTATCCAAGAAGCATGACGCATCTTCTTACAGGAATTTCAGTTCAAGTTTTGGACTTTCGAAACTTGGAGTGAGATAGGAAAAACATGAAAAGGTGGTGGATAAATATGTACTCAATGTTAAGACCAATTTCGTAATTTATTATTAATGTTATGTTTAATATATTTAGCATTCACCAAGATATGGCTTCTTTATTCTGTGAATTACTTGTTTTGTTTTCCAATTCAATATACAAGGCGAGCAGTCATCTCAGGAAGAAAAGGTAGGTTCAGTTTCAATACTTGTATTGAAATAAAAAGGTCTATCTTTGAAGAAATAAAAAATTAATACATTAATTTTTTAATACCCACCAAACTGACAGCAAGATTTTGTTAAAGCTAAATTTTAATTTTGAAATGGTTTCAAGTTATTCACCTATCCAATCCCATATCTTTTATGTTTGAAATTGCTCATGAGAATCAGTTTTTCAACATTAGTTATCAATCCATTTAGAAATTCACTTGCTATTCACATTTTATTTAAGAACTGTTATTTAAATTTATTTGATTCAGTTAGCTTTACTTATTTCATGAAGTACTCAAACATTTAAGCCTTCATTAATGTCATAACTTATGGAGATGATCCTGTACATATGAATTCAATAATTGAAGAAAATCTACTATTTTTTACATCATGTTGTATATTATTAGCCATTCAGCTGGTATAATGGCTAGTGATGCTAACTGTCACACCTATGGGAACGAGTTCAAATCTGTGAGATGGCATGGATGTTTGTAAGCATATAATGTCTGTGTGGCAAGGGGGAACTCTCAAAATACATGGTGAGTTGAAAGTCCTCTCGAAAGGTTGGTGGTAGGAGAAAATAAGTGGAAGACCCTCGGATCAACCCATGCGATGTTTGTTCTCCCTCAAAATTGGGGTGGAACTGCAGAGTTAGTGCAGTAGAACTATAGATATACAACCAATAGAGAATTGTGACATGTCCTCTTCTACCTGTTCCTGTATAATATTACTAATCTCTTTATTTCATTGCATTTACTTCAAACATTTAGCATGATCATAATGCACCTTGGATTTAAAAAAATTAAAACATGACATCCTGCAAATAATTTTTTTCATTAATATTTCTTGAGGAGTCAGTTCCATGTATCCCACATAACTTTAAATGTGCTTACAGAGTGTCTCCTTTATTTCAAAGCAAAATATGGCAGGGAAGAAACCACTTACTTTCACTAGTATTCTTTCAAAATAAATTAACATGTCTTTTTTAAACATACACATTGAAAAATTGCTTGTTTTTTAAGCATTATCAAGCTTTAAAAAATGAATAGAACTACTGCCCATTAATTATAAAAAATAAAAGTATTCCTTTTAGAACCAAAATAAAAAATGGAAATTTTAAAAATTTAACATAGAGCCTGTTACTCACCACAGAGAGCTTCATGTAATCCAGCTTGTTTCTCCTGAAATCTAAACATAAATAAATAATTACAATGGTAGTACATAAAATGCATAAGCAAACTTAATATGATTTTAAAAAAATCCTAGATTTAAAAAACACAAGAATTGAACAAATAAAGTATTTAACTGAGAATGTGATTACTAGAAAAAGATTCCAGATGGAATTTTAAACAAAGCATCGTTCAAATAAAACATAGGTATAAAAATGTTACAATAAAACTATAGTTTTAAGTAGTGTTAAATTAAACAAACTATCTGAAGATGTAGCAGATGTAAGAATTAACACTAGGGTCTTATTTATGAGGGAGATGATTAAAAAAATAACTATTAAATTCTCCTTTTATATTTTCAAAATTCATAAAGCATTAAATTACAAAAGAATAAAAGGTTTGGTAAAAAAAGTATAGATGATAAAGTAAGATTGTCAATATATAATAAATTTTCTTGTACTATTATGAGTTTATTGCTTATTTATTTTATGCTGTGATTAATTATAATTCTCCCTCTTCATTTATTACTGTTATCATATGAAACATATTTAATATCTTCCACTGAACTTTTTCTAGTTTCTTTCAATATCACTTTCAACAAATATGATTCCATATTAATATTTCAAAACACATGAGGTAAAAAATATAGTAAAACAATCTATCAGTAAGGGTTTAAAACTATGAAGATAATAAGATTTTGTATAAAATTTCCTTTGCCCTAGGATTTTCAACATTTAATTCTTAACAGTACGGATCTGCCAACATACAGAATTTTCACACTGCATGCAATTAATGCTCATAAAGAGATTAAAAAATATACAAATAGCAGTATTAATGTCATAATATAACAGTAATAATGTCAGTGTAACATATTTGGCATATCTTTACAATGAAATTGAATCCTGAAAACTTTTAAAAATTTTACATTGCTATGGTTTTACCGATACTTAACAGCAATGAAACTTTTGAACATTTAATATAAACCCAACTCATGTTGTTCAGTTTCTGAAAAGTTAATTTTTTTAATATTTCATAAATTAAAAAAAAAAAAACAATTAGAATGTATACTATACGAAATAAGCAAATTTCTTACTGAAAATTTTTACAAACCTGCTATTAGGAATGATGTAGTGACAAAAAATTAATACAAATAATCATGTTACTAATACCTAAATATATAGTACTACATATAAAAATACAGTTAAAATATAATATAAAAAATACTTACATCCTATATAAATTCTGCTCTTCTACATTCCATTTCTGAAATGCTTCCCTACCATTTCGAGGAATATCCCTAATTGAATCTTTAACATTTAATAAAAATTCCTGAAAAACCCCATTATTTATTAGAAATTATATTAATTATTTGAACTATGTATTATTTAATAATGGAAATTCATACATAACATACTTAGGAAATAAAATGTATTTTTACACACACACAGATACATACACTGATGTCCAAACATTAAGCATTATTGATGATTATATGAATATTTACGGAAATCTATGTCAGAATGGTGGGAAACATGATATGCGAGTGTAATACAGTTATACCACAAGAAAACAATGCAAAAAGAGGATATTAATCACTTTTATCATCCAAAGAAACAGCTTGAAAGAAAACAGCCCAAACTAATAGTTCACACTTTAGTGAAAAAGTTTTTAATAAAAAGCTAATTTGGCAGTTTAATAAATAAGGTGTGTGGTCACCTCTGGTAGCCACGTATTCTGCACAATTGCCCATATGTGCTATGAGAGTGTGGAGGAGATGTGGCCTCAAACAGTTTCCAAGCATTAAGGAGAGCTCTTTTCAGTTCTGGAGCAAAGTTTGGTAGATGGGGAAGGGCTGCAATTTGTCTCCTGAGCACATGCCACACATGCAACACATGCATAACAGGCTTAAGAATGGACCACTACATGCACTGGATAGTTTTACTTTCAAGGAAGTTGTCAACCAGGATCATATGGTGATAAGGTGCATTATCATCCATGAATATGAATCCAAGACCAACAGCATCTTGAGACAGGTGAACATTAGGCCCAAGGACTTTGCCTCTATACTTTTTTAACTGTAACAGACGCCATGTCAAAGACATGAAGGTCTGTGTGACCTTCGAGCATTATGTCTATTCATACCATGACTCCCTTTGAAGAAAAATTATGCCTTTCTATGATGTTTCTTGGGCGAAAACAAGTTTCTCATTCTCTCCATATTATTATCTGATGAGAAAAAGTGTTCAGAGTAAACTGGGACTCGTCACTGAATATCATATTGGAACTCCAGTGCTGATGTCTCAAACTCCAGTTTAGACAAGCACTTTTATGCATAGGTTTGAGAAGAATGCAAATGGCTGGTCGTCTGGCATACAGACCAGCATGAGGCGGTCTTCTATAAACAGTTTGCTTTGAAACTCTAACTCCTGTGTTAGCTGTGAGTGCTGAATAGAGTTACTCTGGCACAGAACATCAGAGTGCTGAACAGAGAACTCTGGCACAAATACAGTTAAAATATAATATAAAAAATACTTACATCCTATATAAATTCTGCTCCTCTACATTCCATTTTTGAAATGCTTCCCTACCATTTCATGACATTGTGCAGTTTTGCCACAAATTATTTGTCACATACTTGCTCAGTTTAGAGGTTTAGTACGTAGCACATAGATTTTTTGTCAAATGTCAGAGTTAAAATGAGAAGTAAAATCATAATCAGCTCGATTCGCTACAGAAGGCTGGCTGCTGCTTGCCTAAAGAGAAGCCTGCTGATCAGAACAAACCTGAAAGACTGATATAAGCACGGTTGGCAAGTTTTGAAAGTTAGCAGTGCTCTGCCTGTCTGACACAGTTACTGGGAGTTTCTGGGTTTTTAACCCAGTTAGTATATTTTAAGGTTCCAATAAGCCACTAAAGCACCATAGGTGATAAGTTGTTTTGTATTAAGTCTCACTAGATGCAAAGAATTAAGTTTTACATTAATTTTCACATTTTTGTGCTGTATCTTGTGACCATGGTAACGATTAATGAAAGGCAATAACTCACTTTATTATGCAGAAATAAATTTCAAGGAAGACCAGTTAGTTACAAATAATTAAATTAGCTAGTTAGATATCCTTAGTCATTACAGATTTACATGAGCACTATTAATTTTTTTAATATTAAACACTAAAATCACAATCTATTAACATGTCAGATTTAAAATATATGTAATTTATGACATTCATTCTCAAACAATATTAAGATACCTACACATTAAAAGCAACAAAACATTTATGTTTTGTAGCGACAATGCTCAACAAAATATTTTTACATCATTTTAATTTGAAGCCTTTTCAGACATTCTGGCTAATTTATATCAATTTCCTTCTCTTAAGGCATCTTTTCTAACAATCAGAAATTTGTTTCAACATACAAACCAATATTCCCACTAGTTTCTGCATGTTTTAACTCCTAACTTGTCAATATGTTGACTGGTTAGCACCTATCAGATTTTACTTGACCTGATAACTTCAAGTTGTAATTACAGAAACAAAATACACTAAAGAGCCACAACATTATGACAACCTACTCAATAACACATTGTGCAACCTTTGGTCTACAAAACAGTTGCAACTGACCTAGGCATTCTAGTTAAACAGTCCGAAACCCCTGACAGACGTGGAGCAAATTATTGGCATGTCTGAAAGTAACTGCAAAATCAGATAAAAGTTTAAATAAACCTCTTATCTAAAAAGACCTTAGAACATAAAGACATGTTCTTATGCTAACAATATCAACTACTGCTTATGGTGATCCAACTCAACATGATAGTCAAATTCAAACTAAAAATGTAGACTAGTAGTCAAAGACTACACAATTTTATTTTAATCTAAGCTGGCTCAGTAAAAGGTTGTAATAAACTCGTAATTTGTCACATAATTATCGCATAACAAATTCAAATATTAGCAGCAATAACACAAAGATGAATAATTACAAATTACCAGAGCTGGTAGAAACTAATTAAGCTTGCAAGCAGAGATCAGAAACAAATTCTGTCTTACAACCCCAAAACCTTAGTTTTAAAGTGATTTTCATTCTGGTGAAGAAACGGAAAGGGAAAACTATAGCAAAAGCTGAAATGATAAACAATTGCTTAATTTACATAATAATAATTATACATATCTTTTCAGAATAATTTTCTTTCTCTTTACGTATTCGATTTCTTTTTTCAATACATTTCCTCCTCATTTTAGAATTTTTGGATTTAATTAAAGATTTCTATTATTCTAAAATAACTAAATGCATTTAGAACATATAGGAAAAGGTGTTAATTTTATTTCTTTAGTAATATGAGCATGGTAACATTTCTTCAGTAATATGAACATGTTAAGAGCCAGTGTAGCAGAACATTTAGAATTTAGTGACACATTGAGCAACAAAAATCTAGAAATAGCAAAATTTGAGACTTTAGGAAAGTACTGGGCAGCAGAATTTAGGATCCACAGAGACTGTATCAAGTGGGAAAATGTGTAGTGTCAGTACTGTGTATGATGCACAGAGCCATAGCTAGGGTTTTCAGCACCCCGGACAACTAAAGATTTTGTACACCTCTCTGTATGAAAGGAATGAAAAATATTTCATTCTAAAATTCTGTAACATCAATTTGGCACCCCATGGATGCTGCAGCCGGAGACAGATGTCCCTCCTTACCCCACCCAAGGTACGCCACTGATGATGCATTGAGACATATAAGATGAATCTTTTATATTGTCAGTTTTCAATTTCTTTATTAACTGAAAATTCCTTTCTATAAATGCCTGTCCATGTAATAAGATTAAAAGCATTTTTTATATTTTCCATGCTTGTGTCTAGTGAAAAGAAGAGAAAACAAAGGGAAGATAAACATGTTAAGAAAAAGACTTGTAGTATCAGAAGTAAAACATTCAAATATTACGTTTTCATTGTTCTTCAGAAAATTCCCCAAAAAGTAAATGCTCATCACAAACTTTCTGTAGAATACATCCATAACATGTTAATAACATGAAGAAATTTTTCTGGAATCTTCTAGATTCACAGGTCTATACATCTTGCCTTCAAATCCTTCTAAACTTTTGCAATTTGCAATGTCTAAAATCCTAAAAAAAATTACAACCTGCACAAGGTGATTGTGCTAAGGTATGTTTTTTCCAAAATGAATTTGCACTTACTTGCAACCATGCAAAGTTTACCATAGACAAAAAGTCAAAATAAATAGATTTAAATGTAAAAAAAAAAAAAAAAAATTATTCAAGAATAAAACATAAATTCTCTTAACAGTTCAAATGGATGCAAATAAATTTTCAGATGGTACTTCTCATATACTAATAGTTTACTCTAGAAATAAATTAAAAAAACCAATAAAAAGAAGAAATTCCTTTTCAATTAAATTGGGAATAAAAGAGAATATTTTTTTTCATGCACATAAATTTAGAAAGAGTAATTATGTACCAGAAGTAAAACATTACTAATCACAATAAATTAAGAGTTAGAGACAAAATAAAAAATTCAGGAGATAGAAGATGGCCATTAGTGATAAAAACTTATGAATGGCATTTACAAATACAAAGCATTTAGGATTAACTGTCTGGCAATTATGCAAATACACTGAATCGTGAGATTTCCAAAGACTTCTGAATGGTGATAAATGGAAGAATGTATATAAAATTATATATGTTAAAATCGAAAAATATTTGTTTTGTCCCATTGTGACAAGACATGTTATATCAAAGACATCTATATGCGTGAAGTGAAGAAGGAATATCAATGCAAAATATAGGGCATAAATTCTGAGTTAACTCGTGCACAGTTAAGCAGTTGTGGAAATAATTTTAAAAAAATTAATTAGCTACCAGGATGTGTAGCAATGTTTATTTGAAGGAAATTCAAACAGTTCTTGACTGGTTGCAATATGAAATGTTCGAAAACACTGTCAAGTGACTCCTGTTAGAAATAATTACACAGCAGGTATAAAATTCTAGTTCTTTATTTTACTCTCAGATATACTAAAAATCATAATGGCATAATACAGATTCCCTGTTTAATATTCAAATCTGAAAAGTTGCTTAAGCTGTCTTAGAGAAAGTATGGAGGTCATCAACAAACTTTTTCGGTGAAATTTGTTAAATAAACATCAATGCTGACAAAGGAACAACAAGAAAACAAAAAAAGTAGTAAAACAAAAGCAGAGAACCCTTATGTGATTAACCATGAAAAGGTATTGCTACATAAATACTGACACGTTAACAAAACTACTATATTCAAGCACAATGATCAGATATTACAGCCTAATTTATCCAAGTACATAAATTAAATTAATTTTCATGCTCCAGAACTGATTCAGTATGTTCCACACAAGACAGCATTCAAAGTAAATCATTATCAACAGCGTCATGAACATTCAAAACTGACTGAGAAGCAATGGATAAATGTTTCATTCACAGAAAAGAAGCACATTTTGTTTATTTTCTGATTCTAAACGGCAGGGCATCTGGTGTTTACTCCAGATCTGGCATTCTGAAGATAATTTGGAGCAATGGATATGGGCTGAAGAGGTATTGGAGTAATGATTAATGTACACATACAGCAGCTGATATTGAAACATAACTGCTCAGTGATATTGCCAGATACCTTATGTTGCAAATTTTCATAGTATGTAAATTTGTTCACCTTTACAAATGATAATACCCAATTTCACCATTCCTAATGATCTGCTTCACTTTGCAGGGAAGTCATTATGATAAATCTGCTGTAAAATGAAGGACCTTGACCACATGGACTAGCCTGCATATTCTACTATCCCAGAGAACATTTCAGGGATAATCTCACCATGTATTAGAAGGAATTGATTACGGTATTGAAAAGGAATGCCTCAAGGCACTTCTGAAGAATACTGTTTAAAGCATGCAAGATACCTACCAATCACTGCTTCCAAGGATATATTTACCATATTAAAGTTTTAAAGGGTATTTTCTCACCATTTTCAGTTCTACAATCAGCAAACACCATATCTTTTGTTTTTGTTGCTCTGCTATCTCCCATTAACAGTAAAAATGTATGCTTCCTCATGAGCATTTCTGCTAACTTTGTCTTACTTCCTATTAAAATACTCAACATCATCTTTGTGGACAAAATATTTTTTATGAAAATATGCTAGCATCTTAATTTATGGACCCTAAATTAAGAAGCTTACACTTTTTTCCACAATACTTTGAGACATTTTTCAACTATGGATAACATTTTGTTTAAACTCAAATCTATTTTAAGTTGAATTATATGATTGTAAATATTATATTCAAATGAAAGCTTTTATTAGAAATCTAAATTCAAATTTATCCAAATGTTTATTACTGTATATAGCTAATACTCAGTACAAGAGTAAAACATTGAAATTGTAAAGAGATATTTCAAAACTTACCTTGATAAACTTTTCATAATGTAAAGCTATATCTAAAGTTTGAGGACTATAATCTAATGTGTCTTTCCAAGAATGAAGTAAGAATGCTAGCCTAATTTGTCTTGATGTATGATGTGTCAGAGCAGTTTTGATGGTTATAAAGTTCTTCAGAGACTTGGACATCTTACATCCAGAGATAGTTAAATGTCCAGAATGTAAAAAGTAACGCACCCAGTGATCATTGCCAAAGTATGCCTAAAACATCAAAGCAACAGAAATATTAACAGAAAATTGCTCAAAAACAAAAAATGCACTTTGAAACAGATAAATTAATTGGGGGGACTTGGAAAAAAGGGGTTATATTACAATCTAGATGGAAATATATACTACATTAACTAAAGCAAGTAAGAGGATCACGACAGAAGTAGTGTAACACTGGGGTCCCTAGGTCAGAGACCTTACCACAATCAAATAATTAAGCAATTGTGAATGCATACTTGACAATAACTGAAATAGGTTAGATAAATAACATTATATATAGTAAGTAATTTTAACAGATCTTAACAAAATGAATTACAAGCTTAAACTGGAGAAATTAATCTGAATAACTTTTTTTTTTTTTTTTTTTTTTTTTTTAGAATACGATTAAGATGATTAAGTAGTTTTAAGAATATGATTAAGTAGGTGCTCTAAAGATTAAAAAATGCTGTAGGAAATGCCAGAAGCAGCTGGATCAGCTGATGACATGTGCTGAAAACATAGAAATATATGAAGCAAGACAAATTAAACATTGAGAGGTGAGTGCAAATCGTTGGTGCATTGGGTTTTTAGAATTGAGTTAAAAGTGCATAAACATAACTACTTAAAGTAAACATAACTACAAAATTTTTTCAGTACAATGGAGGAGACACAATAGTGAAAATAACAAACATAAATTTGGGAAATAATACAATATAGATTATAATTTATCTGATCATTTTGAATATTCAGAACAGTCATAGACCTTTTGATGTTTACTGGGTTACTATAATCATAATCACAAACAGTATTAGCAAGATTGTTAATTGATTTTTGATTTTCATAAAACTTATGAACCATACGGTAATAGTAAGAACTGAGCTGTTCAACATTCAGATGCTTATGAAGTCTGCTGATTCTCACATACTAAGGTGAGTTAGTTATTTGTCTTCAAACGCAGCTTTGGGCTGCTTGCAGTTTCTTATGATAAGAACAACAAGAATATCCCCAGACTGGGCAGGCATAACTTAACATGGGAAGTAGGATGGATTTATAAATGAGTAGCTTGTTGTCTATAGATAGAATACTGTTTCAAGCAATTAAGGGGAATAGTCTAGCTTTACGTACTCGATACTTCTGGAGAATAGACGTAATGTATGGGTTTCAAGTTTTACTGAGGATCATTCCAAGATAAGGGGCCTGACTGACCCAGGAAATGGGTTCCTAATAAAACTTTAGGTTTTTCTTGAATTTCTTCTTTTTTATAAATAATACTGCTTGAGTTTTGTTAACGTTGACCGGTATGTTCTATTTACATAGTCAAGTCACTAGTGTGCATATGTATTTTTGTAGTTGTTGAATAACTGGACTAATAAATGCACTTTGCATAAGGATAGCAGTGTCATCAGCATACACTGCGAGTTTGTTGTTGAGTGTAATGGGGATGTCGTTCACATATATGTTAAAAAGCATGGGGCCCAAAATGGACCGCTGTCGGACTCCAGCTAAAATAGCCCTGTGTGTGGAATGTATGCTTGATAGGTGAACAATAAAGTGTCTACCAGCTAGGTAGAATTCAATCACTTAGCCGACAAGACATTTAGCCGACAGAGATACTTAGCCAACATGGACACTTAGCCGACAGGACATTTAACCGACATGGACACTTAACCGACAGGTCATTTAGCCGACAGGTCATTTAGCTGACACGGACAGTTAGCTGACACAGACATTTAGCCGACAAGGACACTTAGCCGACAGGACATTTAGCCGACACGGACAGTTAGCCGACAGGACATTTAGCCGACAGGACATTTTGCTGAAACAGAGAGTTAGCCGTTAAGACATTTAGCTACGGGACACTTAACTGTCAACACATTTAATCCACAGGACACAAAGCCGACAGTAACATTTAGCTGACACATACCCAATAATTATTCAAACTTACTATCAATTACAAAATTTCTCGACTTCTCCATAAGTTCAATATTTAAGTTATTTTTTCACTATCAGTAAAATTCATTTTTCGATTCTTAAAGATCTCATTTATACTTTTAATTATTGTGTTAATTAATCATTGTTTGATATGTATCCATGGACATTATAAGAAATAGACCAACCCAAATGGGTTTTTTCCCTTACCTTGGCGTATTGCCGGCTGTCACCTTGCCCATATCCGGAGAAGTATGCAGCGCTCATAATTTTAAAGAAAAAGCTGGTGATAGCACCTCATTTCACAAATTAGAATTTTTAGATATTTTTATTTTTGAAACTGAGATTAATTTTTAAAAATGTACCATGTTTATCAAGCATAATTATGTTCTAAATAATTATAAAGCTGTTGCATGCTTTCAGGTCTGGATATTTTTGTAGCTTTTCCTATGCTGTAAGAAAATTTGTATCTCCTTCTTTTAAAAAATAATATTTTAAATCTGAACTAATAGAAAAATTCAAGCAAAAAATTTTCTCTTACAATTTTTATGCTTTTATTGGTATAAATAAGTAAAAAATATACTAAAATTGAAAAAAGGGATTTTTGAAAGTTTTTGCTTAAAATTCTTATTTGTACTGCTTTTTTTAAAATTATATCTGAATATTAAAGCATAATATTCTACAAAGAAGTTTTATTTCAATTAATATTTCATAATACATTATAGTGATTAACACTTTTATAATTTTTATGCATTTATTATAAAGTTAAAAATTGTATTTGACTGTAATAATTAATTGTACTAGTATTTTATAGTGATTATTTTTTTTAAAATTTATGTCTAGTTCTGCATAAGTTTTCTTATTTATTGTTAATTTATTTTATCAGCCCAAAGAGGCGGCAGCTCAGAAAAAGCTATTAGTTTCGAAATGGCATTTTTGCTTTGTTCACTATAAATGTCCGTTTCACTTTGCAAACTGTTGCCACCAAATATTATCGCCCTGTATTATATTTAAAGAAATTAAATAATGAAGAATCTGCATGAATGCATGTATGTTTCTCTCGCACTGTGAAAAAAAACAACAGAAGATTTAGAACCATAAAATTTGAATAACGTAATCCTCCACCCGAAACATGTTCACCTGGACGGCCTAATTTCAAATTTGTTTTAATCCATTTGATATTTTATTATATATTTGATTTGTAACTTTAACGAAGTTTTGATTAAGAAACTCAACGAGTTTAAAGCAAGCAATGGCAACCCTATATAGAAAATAACATTTTTATCTCCAATGCGGAAATTCTAAAGATATGTCATTTTCAAATATTTTGTGATATTGTTCTTGAATTGAATTTTATGTGGTTTACTTGCGAAGAACATGATGTTTAATAAATAAAGGTAATACGCAAAACGTTACAAAAACGCTCCTTTGGGTGTAATATAAAATTATATTGCTGAGTGCTTCCAGAGTTTATCTTTTTTTTCCCTCATTACACTCAAAAACGTTTATGCTCCGAATTTTATGAATTGCTAAAATAAATAATCATCTTGTAATGTTAATAATTAATGATCATATAATCAAATAAATGATCGTCTTGTTATGTTATAATAATTTTAAAAACTACTGCCTGAAAATGTTCATAAAATAAAAGAAAATTATCAGATCTTGTTTAATTTTACCTTATTTGTTTCAAAGCATCATATGCTATCAGTATTGTTTAATTTTACTTTATTTGTACACAAAAATAAGTTCATAAGTGTTGCGTTTAGAATTTTTACTGTTTTACTAAAGTAAAGAAATTTGTACAAGAATTACGCTTGAAAAAAAATGCACAAAATGCAATGCAATAAAAATTATTGTTATCCTTGAATTATACTTTTTATAGAAACATATAGTGGTGAGGGTTAGTTTAGCAAATATATTTCATTTTGTTATTAAAAACAATTTAAAAAAAGTGAATTTATAAGACAAGCAAAGGTATAAATTATTTGTGACCTCTATAATTTGCAGTTCATGCCACCATTCTTGAGATAAAAATTTTGTAACATTTTATTAACCACGCCTCTTGCTTAAAATACTTACTTACTTAGGTGAATGTTTATAGCCCTAAACTAGTGCATAATGTTTAATTTAGAAGTAAAATATTCTTTAAGGTTTTGTTTCATTCATTTTTTGAGAAATTTCAGCGCTTTTTCAATTTGGCCAATGTACACCAAACAGCGTGATACATATCAAACAATGCTAAATTAACACAATAATTAATAGCACATATGAGATTTTTAAGAATCGAAAAATGAATTTTACTGATAGGTGAAAAAATGACTTATATATTGAACTTGTGGAGTAGTCGAGAAATTTTGTAATTCATAGTTTAAATAATTTTTGGGTACGTGTCAGTTAAACGTCACTGTCGGCTTAGTAACCTGTTGACTAAATGTCTTGACAGGTAAGTGTCCCATAGCTCTAAATGTCCTGACAGCTAACTCTCTGTGTCGGCCAAATGTCCTGTTGGCTAACTGTCCGTGTCTGCTAAATGTCCGTGTCGGCTAACTGTCCGTGTCGGCTAAGTGTCCGTGTCGGCTAAGTGTCCGTGTCAGCTAACTGGTGTCAGTTAAGTGTCCCGTCGGCTAAGTGTCACGGACCCGTAATTTGTATGTGAGGGCATCCAGCCATACATGGTCAGAGGCCTTTTCAATATCCAGGAACAGTCCACTTGAGACTTTTCTCGGATGCAATCCTTCACTGATAAGTTCTACTACTCTGTAGAGTTGGGTTGTGGTGGAGAGTTGTTGTCTGAAGCCAAACTGGCAGGGTGTCAGGATGTTCTGCTCTTTTATGAAACTACTGATTCTCTGGAGTAATACTGCTTCTACTATTTTGCTAAGAGTTGAAAGTAAGCTGATGGGTTGATAAGACTCAGGAGCAGTAGGACGTTTCCCTAGTTTTAGAACTGGAGTGATCTTCGCCAGTTTCCAGTCTTCTGGGAAATGTTGCCACTTCAGAATTTCATTTATAATTTTAGTAAAGTAGAGAATAGTCTTGGTTGGGAAGTCTTCAGCATTCTGTTAATGATTTGATCATACCAG